GAGCGAAACTCTGTCTCAAAAAAAAAAAAAAAAAAAATTACATTTAATTAATTATTTGATATAATGGAAATATTTTCCTCTCCCCATTATGTAGATTAAGTGGGAAGAAGATAATATCTTCACGGACACTTAACAATAAGTCGGCCTTTTGTTGTTTTTTTTTTTTTTGAGACAGAGTTTCGCTCTTGTTACTCAGGCTGGAGTGCAATGGCGCGATCTCGGCTCACCGCAAGCTCCACCTCTTGGGTTCAGGCAATTCTCCTGCCTCAGCCTCCTGAGTAGCTGGGATTACAGGCACGCACCACCATGCCCAGCTAATTTTTTTGTATTTTTAGTAGAGACGGGGTTTCACCATGTTGACCAGGATGGTCTCAATCTCTTGACCTGGTGATCCACCCGCCTCGGCCTCCCAAAGTGCTGGGATTACAGGCTTGAGCCACCAAGCCTGGCCTGTTTTTATTTTTTAGACAAGTACTGTAGTCAGAGTATTTAAATGGCTATCCTTTGCCTTTTTTTTTTTTTTTTTTTCATCTTGTTTTCTTCTGCATCTTTACTCCAATGAGCAACAACTTCTAGGGACTTTTTTTTTTTTTTTTTTTAAACTTTGGGAGCTTGTCTTTTCAAAGTATTCATTTGTTTTTCCCCAAACAGTAGAGCAAAACAGCCCCTATAAGCCATCTGGTCTTGAAAGCATTTTGCTTCATCACACAGCTTACTCTTTTTAGATCCTGACATAAGTCTGTATCGTCCACTGATTTTTTTTTTTCAAAGTGTCTAGTTGCTCCCAGGAGAGTTGTCTGAAGTCACTTTAATATTGTTGCTGGCCTATTAGTTATTGAAAGGGGAGAGGGGTATTTAGTCAACATACATGCTGAAAAAGCTCATTCACAGGCCCTTAATTCCCCTAGCCCTTGAAAGAGAGAGAGAGAGAGAGAGAGAGAGAGAGAGAGAGAGAGAGAGAGAGAGAGAGAAAGTGTGTGTGTGTGTGTGTGTGTGTGTGTGTGTGTGTGAAAAAGAGAAAAGGGGAGGGGTATGTGCATTGTGTACCAACATACCTGAGTGATCTGACAAACTCTTCTGTGCTGAGGAGGCTCAGTGGAATTTCCAGGGGTAATATGGTTTTATAATTGAAAAAAAAAAAAGACCTGCCCCTCTCCTGCCACGGTTTAACTATTGGTCTAACCCTATCATGATTATTCAAAGGTTTGCCAAGTATAGTAGAGGGTGACTGACTTTATAAAGTCATGCCACTGGCTAACAATTAAGTCACATTAAATCAGTAATTAATATACTGGACTTTTTATGAGCATTCATTTCATCTTCTTTTTTTGAGGGGGGTGGGGTGGGGGGATACAAGGTCTTGATCTGTCACCCAGGCTGGAGTGCAGTGGTGTGATCTCGGCTCACTGCAACCTCTGCCTCCTGGGCTTGGTGATCCCCTCCCACCTCAGCCTCTGAGTAGCTGGGACTACAGGCGTACAACACCATGCCAGGCTAATTTTTCATGGAAACAGGGTTTTGCTATGTTGTTCAGGCTGGTGTCGAACTTTTGAGCTTGAGTAATCGGCCCTCCTTGGGCTCCCAGAGTGCTGGGATTATACAAGCGTGAGCCACCGTGCCTGGCCTGTGCTTTTTCTTGTTCACATACATGACTTCAGTGTGGTTACATTATATGCAGACTTTAACTGTGTGATTTTTAAAAGTTTCATTTCATATTCAGAGTTTGCAATGTTGCCTTCTCATCTCAGAAAGTCTTCAGGAATCATATTATACGCAAGCCTGACTGAGCTGTAAACTAATGTGCTGTTATCCTATGTTGGTATTAGTTAGGCAGTAACAGAAATATCAGCCATCTCTTATCAGCCTTAACACCAAATTAGGTGACTGTTGAATTATGCAAGATATTTGCAAATCCATCTTTTTTTTACAAAATGCAGTTACCCATGTTTAAGATCTTTCATCTATTAAATTTCAATCAATAGAACATAGGGCTCTGTTGTAACCTACTACATTTCCCAGCACCTTGCAATGTTTAAAACAATAGGGGCTCAACTTGTGTTTTGAAAGATGGATGAATGAATGGAATATTTTTCTTTTTTTTTTTTTTGAGATGGAGTCTTGCTCTGTCGCCCAAGGTGGAGTGCAGTGGTGCCATCTCGGCTCACTGCTACCTCTGCCTCCTTGATTCAGACGATTCTCCTGCCTCAATATCAAATATTTTCATAGAAAAGTATAGCATAGAGGTGCTAAACTTTGGGTTTGTGGAAGGAACTATAGTGTCTCTAAGCCCCCTGAGAAAAATAGGTGGCATTTGACATGGATGGGGGCATTTTTTCTGGGGAAATGTGGTTCATAGATGGATCAAATTTCCAAAGTGATCTTTGGATCCCCTAATGATTAAGAACCGATATTATAGAGTTTGTAGGTTTCAGGCTTCAAAGATCAGGAAAGTTGAACACAATGGCTCACACATGTAGTCTCAGCAACTCTGGAGGCTGAGGCAGGAGGGTGGCTTGAGCCCAGGAGTTTGAAGCTAGCAGTTCAGCAGTTGTAGACCAGCCTGGCAACATAGTGAGACCCACATCTTTAAAAAAAAAAGAGGCTGGGCATGGTAATCCCAGCACTTTGGGAGGCCGAGGAGGATGGATCACTTAAGATCAGGAGTTCGAGACCAGCCTGGTCAACATGGTGAAACCTCATCTCTACTAAAAAAATAAAAAAATTAGCCAGGCGTGGTGGCAGGTGCCTGTAACCCCAGTTATGCAGAAGCCGAGGCAGGACAGTCAGTCGAACCCAGGAGGCAGAGGTGCAGTGATCTGAGATTGTATCAGTGCACTCCAGCCTGGGAGACACAGCAAGACTCTGTCTCAAAGAAAACAAAAAAAAGAAGAAGAAAACCAACTCAAGCTTATGTAAAAAAGGATTGTATTGGATTTTGTAACTGAAAACAAAAATACTGGGAAAATTCTGGCTCCAGGAATCCTGGGTACAAATAATATCTTTAATTAAAGTTTTTATCTCCCTTGCTCTTTCTCTATATTGGCTTTAGTCTTAGGCCTACTCTTCTCTGTGCTGGAAAAAAGATATGTCAGTCTGCAGCCGAGGCCTGCTAGGTTTTTAGAGTTTAAGAATTGACAGGTGTCCCAGAGAAGACTCTGATCAGTCTGGTTTAAGTCATGTGCCCACCCCTAGAGAAATGGAGTTATCATCAATCAGATTACATGGACTGAATATAATTAGCATGAAACTGGAGAGAGAAAGTTCCCTGAAGAAACGTAATGTGTGTAGACAAAAAACAGAAACAAAAAAACCCAGTGTCCTCTGTAGTGATTGAAAAGTTTGAGGACATTTTACAGTCTCATGGGTGAAAAATAAAAATAAATAGAAAAAAAGAAAAGTTTGAGGACATTTAAAATAAGTAATAGACTGACAATTTCACATTAAAACTAGGATATATTATACTGATACTTAAGTTTTTTTGTGAATTACAAATTTTTCTGTATGGGTTTTAGTTTTTTTGTTTGTTTGTTTGTTTGTTTGTTTTGAGACGGAGTTTCGCTCTTGTTACCCAGGCTGGAGTGCAGTGGCGCGATCTCGGCTCACCGCAACCTCCGCCTCCTGGGTTCAGGCAATTCTCCTGCCTCAGCCTCCTGAGTAGCTGGGATTACAGGCACGTGCCACCATGCCCAGCTAACTTTTTGTATTTTTAGTAGAGACGGGGTTTCACCATGTTGACCAGGATGGTCTCGATCTCTCAACCTCGTGATCCACCCGCCTCGGCCTCCCAAAGTGCTGGGATTACAGGCTTGAGCCACCGCGCCCGGCCTTAGTTTTTTTAACTTGAAAAGTTTTATTCATTTATTCATTTATCAAATATTTGAGAACCTGTTATGTGCTGCTATCATCATTCTTTGCACTGGGTATACATCAATGAACAAAACAAAAATCCCTTACTTCATGGAACCCACATTCTAGTGAGAACAGACAGGTAATAAATAACATTACTGAAATATCATGTTGGATCGGTTTAAGTACTCTAAAGAAAATAAGCAGGGAGGAAAGGTAAGGAGTAGGTGTGACAGTTTTATTTTTTTAGTTTTTAGGTTTTTTGAGACCAAGTCTTGTTCTGTTACCCAGGTGTGACTTGATCTTTTTTTTGAGACCAAGTCTTGTTCTGTTGGAGTGGCATGATCTAAGCTCACTGCAACCTCTACCTCCTGGGTTCAAATAATTCTCTTGCCTCAGCCTCCTGAGTAGCTGGGTTTGTAGGTGTGCACCACCATGCCCAGCTAATTTTTGTATTTTTAGTAGAGGTGGGGTTTCACCATGTTGGCCAGGCTGGTCTCAAACTTCTGACCTCAAGTGATCCACCCTCCTTGGCCTCCCAAAGCACTAAGATTATAGGCGTGAGCCACCGTACCTGGCATGGTATTGCAGTTTTAAATAGGATGGCCAAAGGAGGCCTCACTAAGAAGGTGACATTTGAACAAAGATTTGAAGGAAGTGAGTAAAGAGTAGGCTGTTTGGATGATAACTAGAAGAAGACAGTTCTAGGTAGTAGGAAGCAAGTGCTAAGGCTTGAAGTGTTGGAGGAACTGTATGGAGGCTTGAATCAGAGAATGGGAAGGAGAGGAGTGTAGGAAGAGAAGTAAGGGCTGATGTCAAAGAAGCGAGAGAATGGTGGAAGCATATTGCATAGATCCTTAGAAGATATGATAAAGAGTGTAAACCACTAGAGGGTTTTGAGCACAGGAGCAAATTTTACGGAATGCCTATAATATGAAGTGGAAACGCCTTAATTATTTTGTCATTTTTTTCCCTCTATATTTGGGAGTTTTTAAAACTTAATTTTATAGAAAAACTAAAAGTCAACCCATGTTCATCATTCTGAGATCTAAGTAGTTAATACCTAATTGTGATTATTGATTCCAAGAAATACAGGAGTTGAAAATACAAAGCTTAATTTCTCTGATGACATTTATATTGTTCTTCTTTATTAGAAATTCATTGAATTTGAAGACTCTCAAGAACAGGAAAAAAAGGACTTACAGACCCGAGTGGAGTCTTTAGAATCTCAAACAAGACAACTTGAGCTCAAAGCAAAAAACTATGCTGACCAGAGTAAGTAAAACATTTCTTCTCATAAGTACACATTATTAAAGACTGGCATCGGCCAGAGGTGATGGCTCATGTCTGTAATCCCAGCACTTTGGGAGGCCGAGGTGGGAGGATCACTTGAGGTCAGGAGTTCAAGACCAGCCTGGTCAACATGGTGAAACACTGTCTCTACTAAAAATACAAAAATTAGCTGGGCATGGTGGTGCATGCCTGTAATCCCAGATACTTGGGAGGCTGAGGCACGAGAACCACTTGAACTCAGTAGGCGGAGGCTGCAGCAGTGAGCCCAGATGGTGCCACTGCACTCTAGCCTGAGCAACAGAGTGAAACTGTTTCTAAAAAAAAAAAAAAAAAAAAAAAAAAAGAGTGGGCTCTAATGGTGCAATGACTCATCCTGACATATGACTAAGGTTCTAAATACAAACTTGGAATTGTCATCCCAGACTCAAGAGTGAGACCTGTGATCTAGGGTTAGTTCTTTTTTATTTCAGATTTTCACTTGGTACCCATAGATGCAGAAATGACTAAGCCAAATATATCTGTCAGACTCACTTCTGCAATTTAGCTCCCAGACTTTGTTTGTAGTTAACATTATGCTATAATCATTATGCAAGTGTGTGCGTGTAGATAATTTCCTCTAATTTTGATCAAGTACACAGAGTTTCATTTTTTCTATTTTGCTTTGAAATGTAAAAATGTAATGAAGCTTACAGTTTTGAAGTATGTATTTAAAAATTACCTAAGCATGTAATTAGATACTAGAAGAAAAAAAGTACTGAATCCCCCTTTTTGTTCCTTTTTAATGGAAAAGTGGGGCCATTTGAGGGAACAGAACTTCATTTTTCAGAATCATTTTATTTTTAATATAATTTCATATATTCTTGGTTTTAAAAATTATTGTTTCAAACCTCAAGGATCATTTTCCCCTTTTGGCTAATAAAAAAAGAGACCTAATTAAGTCAAAATTAGAAAAAGAAATGCTGAGAAACTTAATGGCCTATTTTCATGTCTGATAGAGGTAGGCAGACAGTTTTCTGCTTTTCTTTCCCAGCATTGTAAACTTTCAGAATCCTAGGGAGCAAAGGATGGCTGGGCAGTTACTCTATTCACTTTACTCATTAAGTCTGCTTAGTGACAGTAGCTACTAAGGTACAGCCAATCATGATGGAGAACCTTCACCAGCAATCTTGGGGCGTGTGTGAGAACTGACTGTTCTCTCTAGTACTCTGGAAAGACAGAATAGACCTAAATTCAAACCACTGGGAATCTGGAGTTCAAGCATTCCAGAATTCAAGGTGAACTCAAGTGGCTATTAAGCAGATGTCCTAGAAGACGGCCAGTAGATGTTTGTTAACAGGAGCCAACCTGAGTGAGACAAAATGGGCCATGTGTCATGCTTTGTGTTTTTAGGCTCGTGGATACCCAGAGTCATGTAACTTTCCTTTGTTAACATCGATTACATTGAGTGACTTTTATTATTTCTGCCATAGAAATTTGAGGTTGGCTGGGTGTGGTGGCTCACAGCTGTTCCCAGCACTTTGAGAGACAAAGGTAGGAGAATTGCTTGAGCCTAGGAGTTTGAGACCAGCCTGGGCAAGATAGCGAGATACCCTGTCTTTATAACAAAAAAATTAAGAAAAAGAGGCCAGGTGTGGTGATTCACACTTGTAATCCCAGCACTTTGGGAGGCTGAGGCATGCAGATTGCTTGAGCTCAGGGGTTTGAGACCAGACTGGGCAACATGATGAAACCCCGTCTCTACCAAAAATACAAAAATTAGCTGGGTATGGTGCTGTACACCTGTAGTCCCAGCTATTTGAATAGCAGGCTAAGGTGGAAGGATTACTTGGGCTTGGGAGGTGGAGTTTTCAGTGAGCTGAGATTGCACCACTGCCCACTGCACTCCAGGCTGTGTGACAGAGTGAGACCCCATCTCAAAAGAAAAAAAAAAAAAATGAAGTCTTAGAGCACTGCATGATGGGCTCCATGGGACCTCTAATAACAAATATATTACTGGGGTCACATTACTGTGAGTACCACTTATCTGGAGAAATGGTCTTGTGGCAATTGTAAGCTTTTGGTACATTTCAAGAGTTGAGACTTCTCTATTCAAGAAAGAAAATTTAACTATTGGAGGTAATATTTAAATCCCAATTTGATTTCATGCTGCTGATAAAGAAAAAAAAATTAAAAATCCCAATTTGATTGTACTTTTTTCTTTCTTTTAAATGGACACAAGGCCAGATGTGGTGGCACATGCCTGTAATCCCAGCACTTTGGGAGGTCAAGGCAGGCGGATCACCTGAGGTTGGGAGTTCGACACCAGCCTGACCAACATGGTGAAACCCTGTTTCTACTAAAAATACAAAGTTAGCCAGGTGTGGGGGTGCATGCTTGTAATCCCAGCTACCTGGGTGGCTGAGGCAGGAGAATCACTTGAATCCGGGAGTCGGAGGTTGCAGTGAGCCGAGATCACAACAATGTACTCTGGCCTGGGCAACAAGAATTTGCCCAGGCTGGTCTTAAACTCCTGAGCTCAAAAGGACTCTCCCCACCTCCGCCTCCCAAAGTGCTGGCATTTTAGGCATCAGCCACCTTGCCCAACCTGAAGTACTTTTTTTTTTTTTTTTGGCTGGGCATGGTGACTCGTGCCTGTAATCCCAGCACTTTTGGGAGGCCGAGGCAGGCAGATCACCTGAGGTCTGGAGTTTGAGACCACACATGGTGAAACCCCATCTCTACCAAAAATAAAAAAATTAGCTGGACATGGTGGTGCGCACCTGTAATCCCAGCTACTCAGGAGGCTAAGGCAGGAGAATTGCTTGAACCCAGGGGGCAGAGCTGAGTTGGCATCACTGCACCACAGCCTGGATGACAGAGCAAGACTCCATCTAAAAAAAAAAAAAAAAAAAAAAATTATTATTACTTTGTTTTGAGATGAAGTCTTGCTGTCTCTCCCAGGCTGGAGTGCAGTGACCCGATCATAGTTCACTGCACTCTCAAACTCCAGGCTCAAGTGATCCTCCCACCCCAGCCTCCCAAGTAGCTGGAACTACAGGCATGAGCCACCATGCTTGGCTAATTTTAAATTTTTTTGTAGAAATGAATTTTTTTTTTTTTGAGATGGAGTTTCGCTCTTGTTACCCAGACTGGAGTGCAATGGCGCGATCTTGGCTCACCACAACCTCCACCTCCTGATTTCAAGCAGTTCTTCTACCTCAGCCTCCTGAATAGCTGGGACTACAGGCACGTGCCACCATGCCCAGCTAATTTTTGTATTTTTAGTAGAAACAGGGTTTCACCTTGTTGACCAGGATGATCTCGATCTCTTGACCTCGTGATCCACCCGCCTCGGCCTCCCAAAGTGCTGGGATTATAGGCATGAGCCACCATGCCTGGCCCTAAGAAATGGGATATTGTTATATTTTTCAGGCTGCTCTTGAACTCCTGGTCTCAAGCAATCCTTGCACCTTGGCCTTCCAAAGTTCTGGAATTACAGGTGTAAGCCACTGTGCCTGACCAGAATTCCTTTTTTGATTTGGAAAGGAATTCCTTGTCTAAAATCCTTTTATGCATTAAGTAATCGGCTTCTGTGATTAGAGGAAGAATTACCGTCTACTTGAAATTGCATTTTTGATATCAGAGTACCTTTAAAATATCTCACATTCAAAAAGGATGCAGAAAATGTTGCTTTTTTCACAAAAGCATCTAAGTAGAATGAATTACTAATTCTCTCAAACACACATTAGTCCCTTCATTACTAAATTTAAAAAATCTGTTTTCAGGGCCGGGCGCAGTGGCTCAAGCCTGTAATCCCAGCACTTTGGGAGGCCGAGGCAGGTGGATCACGAGGTCAAGAGATCGAGACCATCCTGGTCAACATGGTGAAACCCCGTCTCTACTAAATATACAAAAAAATTAGCTGGGCATGGTAGCGCGTGCCTGTAATCCCAGCTACTCAGGAGGCTGAGGCAGGAGAATTGCCTGAACCCAGGAGGCAGAGGTTGCAGTGAGCCGAGATCGCGCCATTGCACTCCATCCTGGGTAACAAGAGCGAAACTCCATCTCAAAAAAAAAAAAAAAAAAAAAAAATCTGTTTTTTATTCCTTTCTAGTAAATGTAAACAAAATATAGTGATTTCTTTTTTTCTTTTTTTTTTTGAGATGAAGTCTGGCTCTGTTGCCAATGTAATGGTGTGGCCTCCGGTTACTGCAACCTCTGCCTTCCAGGTTCAAGCGATTTTCCTGCCTCAGCCTCCCCAAGTAGCTGGGATTATAGGCACCCGTCATTATGGCAGGCTAATTTTTGTGTATTTATAGAGATGGGATTTCACCCTGTTGGCCAGGCTGGCCTTGAACCCCTAACCTCAGGTGATCAGCCCGCCTTAGTCTCCCAAAGTGCTGGGATTACAGGTGTGAACCAGCACGCCTGGCCTAGTGTTTTCTTAATTAAGGGAAGTGATCAATTTAGGAGAATATTTGAGTATCTCAAATTTCCTTTTCCTTGTCTCAGATTTGTTATCCAGTCCAGAGAGTCACACCTTTTTTGGCATTATGATATTCTGTGCTATCCATCTTCTCTTTCCTTTCTCCCAAAATATTAATTATGTTTTCCATTTTAATTCAAAGACTTAAAAAAAATTAGATCATTTAAAAATAACTGAAAATACTCTAGAGAAAGGAGGAAAAAATTCTTCAATAAGTATTAGATATGGTCTTGAGCTTAATTTGATCTGAAAACTTTATTTTTGTTTTGAATATATTGTCCCCCAAAGAATTTCTCTCCTAGGAGTCTGCTATTTTAATCTGAAATAAATTTTGCTGTATAAAGAACAATTAAAGAACTTACAAACTATGGTTAATCAAAATTGACCATTTATATGCACAAAGTTGATAACACTAAATCTTTTTCCATGGACTCGTCTTTCATTAATGCTTTGGAACTTATTCCCTTCTCCTGTTTTTGAGATGAAATTCGAGTCTTTTTCTCTTTTCTAGTGAATT